CCGGAGGGGGAACTTGGTTCTCACTCCGATCCCTCCTTCGATTATCAAGGCCAATGCGGGCATCAGGGGCGTTCTTCTGTAGCTGCTGACGGAGGTCAGCGGTAGCCTGCTCCAATTCGAGGATGATACCACCCTCCGGCACTAAGAGCCTGTTGGAGGCCTCAGCCCCGTTGGTTTCGCCGGGAGCTACGTGGTTCTCCTCTAGGGTTTTGGATTGGGCACGAGTGGTTCTTCCCATTTTTTTTTTGTATTTGGTAGAGGGGGAGGGTTTCTTACTTGATAGTTCAGACCTCTCAACGAGAGCACCAAATGATGGATAGTCTACCCGGGGGGTATCTTATCCGAGGGGTTATTGCGGGAATAACTTAGAGAGAAGTCAGAGTGAATAGGAGGAGAGAGAGTCGATTTTATTAAATGAACTCAGCGTGTGGAGTTGGGATGTAGATGGTCCTTTACAAGGAGAAATGGGCTGCTATTTATAGCAGCAATAAATGCGATGAGAGGACACGTGTCAGTAATCCAACGGCCGAAGGGTCACGTCAGCCTGGTGGCACCGGCAGTGGTACGTCAACCGCATTGAATGCGGTTGGCGGATGCGACGCGGCATTAAATGCGGTGGTTGGCTGTCTCTAAAAGGAATCTTCGATGATTGAGCTTGTTCAGCCGAAGGCTCTTTGTTCAGCCGAAGGCTCCTTGTGTAGCCGAGGGCTCCTTGTGTAGCCGAGGGCTCCTTGTGTAGCCGCGGGCTCCTTGTGTAGCCGAAGGCTTGGTTCAGCCGAAGGCTTCCCATGGTGCCGAGGGCATGAGAATGCCGAAGGCTCATGTCCTCGCCCGTTTTCTCCCAGCAGCTTCTTATGCCAGAGAAGGCTATCCTGTGAGTTTTGGAGCCTTCGGCCAAGGAGGCCGAAGGCACCCCAGTGTGTATTCTGGGCTACTTTGAGGCTTGGGCCGTTGTATTTGGGCCTGAGTTGTTTCCTCAGCTCAATGGACTTGTGTAGGAGAAATAGGAGTCTATGGGCCGGGGGTTCCTGGGCCATATACTCCATCAAAAGCATATCTCAGCTTTTGGCTTTAAAAAATCACTTATTTTCCCAAAAACTACAACTTTTATTTTTCTCGGCTCCGCGTCAAAAGTGCTTTTACTTTTTCTATTACACAAAAAATACTTATTTTACCAAACACTACCCACTTTTACTTTTCAAAATCATTTTTTTTCTCAAACACTATCAACTTTTATTTAATCTCTTCTCCCCATTTCATTAAAAAAAACATTTTTTTAAAAGCAGAAGTTGCTGCAAATAGACTCTTAGTCAATGGAATAGTGTAAGAAGAGTATGATAATGTTCGAATATTCCAATGTACCCTGAAGATAATGAAAGATGCAAGACCACACAATATAATGGATAAAAGAATCAACAGTTAATACATTTTGAGTAGTAATAATAAACTAAGGTGACAACCAGAGGCGGACCCAGTAAGGGTCCCACGGGGTCCCGGGACCCCGTGCACCTCGAAAAAAATACCTATATATTATATATATTTTAAAAAATTAATTATTAAATGTATATTTACATAAAAAACGACATACGAACCAAAAGAATGTTGTAGAGGAATGGGAGCACATGCAGGACTTAAGTTTCTATGTTGGATGAGGTACTGAGTTCGAATCCCCTTAGGGCTCCTTTTTTATTTTCCAAAACTATTTTAACTAGTATTGCACCCGTGCGATGCACGGGACACATTATTTTTATATTTTATGTATGTTATTTTTTAAATGATAATATTATACTACTTCTGTCCCGGTTTGAAGTTCACATCATAAAAATTGCACGATTGTGTAAACAATAATCAAATAAGGTAATTTGAGTATGTTGTGAGAAATGTTTTTGATGGATATGTAATATTGTGGGGTCATTTAAAATGGAAATATTAAAATATTAATACTTGTAACGTTAATTAGAGTATTTGATCGATCAATAAATTATTATTTCATAATGTTAATTATTTTTTAGAATTGAAATGAGAATATTTATGTGATACGTTCAAAATGGGAAAGTGAGAACCTTAAAGGGAGGAATCTGACCAATATCTATTTATTGTATAGGAAAGTCAAATTTAATAAGAGAAAATAAAATATTTAATACGGAGTATATCGTGAACTCATAATAATTGTTCCACAAGAAAGAACCAAACCATTGACACTTAATTACGTTTTAAAAATGGTAGATTCTATGGTATCCAAAAGGTACCATATCTTTGTATTAATGAGAATGTAGCAGTTGAATTATTTAAATCTAAATTAAAAATGATAAAGTGATGTGGTCCAGTCAAATAAATGGTAGGTACGGTACCCCATTTTTTAAAAAAGATACTTGAGTTGTCACTTTTAAAAATAGAACAACTTGTTAGAAAAAATTATACAGTCAAAGTTTCTTTATATGTATACCTATTTACTTGTGTGTATAGTAGCGAAACAATATACGGAATACATTTCAACTTGATTTTCATTGAGGAAATTGACATGATGACAGCATCATATCCTACCTCCCCAGTACCCAATGCCGGCCTTATACTTCGCTTCATATGTTTACTATTTGTTCTCCAGTTCTCATTATACATCTCTTTTATCTATATAGTACTTCCTCCGTTCTTAAATAAATGCAACGGTCAACATTTCACACTTATCCAGACACAACTTTGACCGCTAATATATATGATTTTGTATTAGTAAAAAAATTAAAAAAATTAGATTATAAAAGTTTACAATGAGACAATTTTAACAATATTTTTTTCATAAAAAAATATTGTTACATTAATAAATAAAACGTAGTCAAAGTTGAACATGTGAATAGTGTAAAAGTCAAAGTGTTGTATTTATTTAATAACGGAGTTAGTACGTAGTTTAGTGATAGTAAACAGTAGAATTGCAAAATAAAAAAGGAAGTAAGTAATGAGAAGAGCCGCCGCATATCTTTATATATACAGTGATAATGTAGTTGTGAGTAGCCATAATAATTAATAATCATCCTCATCTTCTTTGGTATAATATGTTATTTGCAATTTGCAGCGCATGCATCACTAACTACTCACTCTTCACAGCCTACCACACGCATCAAACCATATGTTAAACAGCCCATCCAAACATAGATAAGCTCGGCAGCCTGCTGACCTTTCCACTCACAGCTTTATACAATAAGCTCGGCAGCCTGCTGTGTTCCAATGGATCTGATGTCGTTATTTCCCAATGATAAAAGAGTGCCAGAAAAGCCGGGAGACACGACGACAACGGGAAGGTACGCCGCCTTGATATTGTAAAGGGGTTAGGGGTGTTCCAACTTCCAAGCCTCCTCAAGAAGTCAGAACACTGTGATATGTGGATGCCACCAGCCAAGAGCTTGCTGATCTGGTGCTTGGATCTCAAGTTCTCAACCATGTAAAATGCTCCGTACTACATAATTGTTTTCATGGAGCTATTAATTGTGCCACCAGAATATCCAGAAGTTGAGTAGTTGCAGTTATAAGTTATAACCGTATATATATACGTTTAAACTAAAGAAAGCTTAAAGTCAAAAAATATTCTTGAAAAGGTGTAGTAATATACTGCTATACACTCTTATCGTTCTGATAGCTTGAATTTCCTTTGATGGTAGCATATATATAAAGTTTCGAGTGAGATAAAACTGAATAGTGGAACTGCCACATCATGTATACGTGCAAGTTAGTGATTTAACCGACCCACCTCTATACATGAAAGCATTGTGGATTGTCACGTGTTTGCACCTGATAATATTCCGGATGAAGGGATCGGAGGTGTATGTTTTGAGGAAAACTGTACTTAAGCATCTGTTAACACGTGTATTCTTTCAATGGCCAGATTGTGTTGAGTATTCTCACGATTGAGCTTTTATATATATATAGATTAAATAGATCAAAACTACGTCGTTTTGGCCTATTTTAATTAAATAGACCAAAACTATTATACTCCCTCTGTCCCGAAAACAACCTCCCAATTTGACTTTCACACACTTTTAGAAAATAAATTTGACTTTACTGTAGAGTGCACTGTTTTGCACTGTTTTAAACATTGTTTAACACTGTTTAAACACTGTTTGACACTGTTTATCACTTTTTTATGTAGATAATTTGCCAAATAAGGAAAGTATTGAAATGTGAAGTTAATTTTGGGACATCCATGTAAGGAAAGTGGGAAATTGTTTTTGGGACGGAGGGAGTAGAATATTTCCAACAAATGAAGCTTAGGAGGGTACATCTCTAGAATTGTTGGATGATTTTTATATGTAATTTTTTTGCTTTATAATACCTTAATATTTTGATGGTGTACGTTAACTATGAAATGTTATGCTTCTTTAGGCTAAAGGGTCAAATAGGTATATGAACTAACTTAAAGTGTTCAATTAGCCCCTTATATAGGAGGTTCTGCCCGGCCGTCGCCAATTGGGGCGGTTCCCAGTGGAATTTTTTGATGAATTTTTTTGAGCATCTTCTTCATTAAGTATAGTTTACTCATACCAAATTTGAGCTAAAAATTCAACCGGGAAGGCAGTCAAATGATTTTTTGAAGATAACTACGCAGTTAAACAACGCAGTACATTTCGGAAAATCATTTGACTGCCTTCCCGATTTAATTTTTTAGCTGAAATTTGATATGAGTAAACTAGACTTAATGAAGAAGATTCTCAAAAAGTTTCATCAAAAAATTCAACCAGGAACCACCTCAATTGGCGACGGCCGGGCAGAACCTCTTATATAATGAGCTAATTGAACACTTTAAGTTAGTTCATGTACCTATTTGACTCTTTAGCCTGCTTCTTTAATATTTTTTATTAGTTTTATATTAATTAGTAATTAGAGTTATAAAAGGGTAGGGACCCCGTGACTCCGACTTTCTGGGTCCGCCACTGGTGACAACTCCGGTACCTTTCTAAAAACAGGGGTACCGTACCTAGCATTCATTTGATTGGACCACATCACTTTATCAATTTTAATTTAGATTTAATTAATTCAACTGCTACCTTTTCATTGGTCCATATGGACAAATGTATGGTACCTTATGGGTACCATAGAAACTACCATAAACTAATACTCTGTAATATCTTATTTTATCAAAATGAAAGTGAAAATATGGAAAGAGGATGAATCTTAAATTCTCAATTCATCCCAAAACTCAAATTTAATTTAATTCAGCCGAAGCACTGGCTACTGGGAATGATGGAAGCTGCTGGATCAAAGAATTGTAACCCGAAGACAGCTATCGCCGCCAACAAACTCAAATAAGACAACCCTTCAACCGCTCCTAACAACCCAAACGGTCCACTGGGCAAACCCGACCCGGTTTTGCTCTTGGTATACAATGACCAACCCACGATCGCCGCCGCCGCCAAATAGCTCACGCCTTCAAGTGCGCCAAGGGAGCCGCCTGGTCCCGGCGGAAGGCCGCAGCCGGTAGATTTGAGGGTGTAAAGCGACCACCCAATCACCGGCGCGGAGACTAATCCGCCGACGATGGCCACTTTCTCTGCTATTCCGGCTTGGCTTTCACCGTTCTGTTTCGCCGCCATTGCTCTGATTGCCTTGAGTGTGGGTGCGGGTCGGGCAAGTCTTTGGGTAAGGCTGAAATTGGGTGATGGAGGAAAGCATTTTGAGGGTGATGGGGAGATCAGCAGCGGCAGCATTTTGAGACTTTTAGAGTTGCAGTAATCGAGAAATGAGGAACGGGGTAATTGAAGCCGAGAATAATTGAGAGCCAAATAGCCAATCCCAAATTGTTATGTTCTTTGTGCTTGTATAGACTATAGAGTTTCAACCTTGCTCAAATATTAAGATATCAAGCATGTTTGGTAACACTGGTAACACCAAAATTAGTTGAATCACCTGATTCTACTTTTGTATGAAAAAATTAAGTTCTCAATTTCCTTTTTGGACAGTCTCTAAATTAAGTTCACACTTCAATACTTTCCTTATTTGGCAAATTATTTACATCCAAACAGTGTCAAACAGTGTCAAACAGTGTTTAAACAGTGCAAAATAGTGCACTCCACGGTAAAGTCAAATTTATTTTCTTAATATGTGTGAAGTCAAACTAGGAACTTAATTGGGGGACAGATGAAGTATTTAAGAATAATTAGCTAAAATTATCTTTTACAGCAATTTTCTGCCAATACAGCCAGAAAAGTAACTTCTGCCCTATTTTTTCTTATTATTTCACATTCAGCGAGCAAAAATCAAAATTTACGTGTTTGATGAAAATGTTGGTTGACTCACTCTCTCATTCGAGAGTAGGCTTGGACCGGGACCGAGTCGACCGACCCGTTACCCGGACCGAACAAGTACTGTGTAGTACCGACCCGAAGACCAGGAACGGGACCGGTCCAATAGGCCCGAACTGAGGGTATTTTAGGGCGGGACCGAGAGCTGAAAATGGGAACTAGTCTGGGACTGGACCGGTCCGTAACGGCTGTTTTAAAAAAAAAAATGGCCGACCTGACCCGGCCAGGCCCGACCCAAGTCCTGGGCGGGTATATCGGACTGGAACAGTCCCAGTAGAGTCCCAGACTGGTCCCGGTAGAATCCCGGGCCGGTACCGGGCCTTAACCCAAAATTTTTTTATCCCGGTTTGGACCGGTCCGGTTCTCGATCCGGACCAGACCTGGTCCATCCCAATTCGGGAGGTCTCAGGTTTCAAACTCGTTGGAGGAAATTTCAACCCTATTTACTTAGGCTCTCTCAACCTCTCCCCCTAACCCAGGGCTCTGGGGTAAAAAGAAAACTAAATGTATGGATGGAGTATGGATTATGGTGTTAAACTTACAAAAGCCATATATATATGAAGGATTGTAACCTCACTGTCATCACTCAAATTTTTATTTAAATTCCCTACCAAAAATTGAAGGATTATCATGCCAAGATAACCCATGCGACTCCATAAATGAGGAGGCCCTTTAAACCACTGAATTTAAGGAGAATAAAAATCTCACCTCTTTTATGATTTCTCAAATCACATACCATTTGTTCTAAGCTGTTTGGTTACTGTATAAATCTCACCTCTTTTATGATTTCTCAAATCACATACCATTTGTTCTAAGGTGTTTGGTTACTGTATACTATGTATAATTTTAGATATCTAGATAATTCAACAAATCATCACCAAGGTTCTCAAAGATACGTGTTGAACCACGTGAATAATTGATGAGAAGTGAGTCACGCAAAACTTCACAAAGTAGCTAATTTTTCATGTCATTGAAGTACTGAACTGTAGTATCATTATTTGAACTCTTGCTTATCTGATTAAGCTATACTCTAACTATTTTAGATTGTATTGACACCATCTCAAAGTGCATTAGTCTCGTACAAACAGAATCTATACAGTAATGTAAATCGCATCAATAAGCATTATAATTATCTATCAAACAACTATACTAAACTAATTGTATCCCCCTTGTGGATGGATATACATTCATAAATCTAAATTAAATGGTCCAAATCAAACCAGTAAATCCGTTCGGCATACTTATGGTGAGGGGCGTGGTGCTACCCCTCTACACTGACCGACACGCACACGCTTAGCATACATGATGTTACCTCCAGAATGGCAAGCACATTGAACATAGCATGATATCTCTAAAAAAATATGACACACTGAACATAGCATAGTGTTATTTGTGCAAGAACATGGCATATAGACCAGGTTATGGTGCTACCTTCACCTTGGCATGACACACTACTAATTTCACCAGAGCACGGCGCGCCGCCAACTTCACTTTTACACACACATGGTTTTACTTTCAGGAAGCCAAGTTACTAGTGACAAATCTCGCAAATCATGGGACAATTCATATCAGTCCCGCAAATCATAGAACAATAGCCCGTCAATTTAGGCATAGTGACCACATTGTCCAAATATTGTGTCTCATTATGTACTATAAATCCATGTATTTATGGGAAGAATGGATAAAACCCAAGTACACTACATATAATTATCTATGTAATAATTATACTTATTGTGGTTAATTATTTTCAGTCATCTCTTATTATTTTAAGATGGATGTAGTTCCATCAAGTATAATATGCGGATTTGAAATAGTGTAATACTAATACGTAAACTCATCCTACTTCTAAGCCTATAAACATCCTCTATTTCATGAATGCTACTACAAATACATCCTGCCATATCAACAACTCTCATAATAAAGCATGAAGAACTTATAGTCAACCCCATAATTGTAATGTCAATTTTATGATCATCTTCAAAGGGGCCATTTATACCCAGGTTGATGAATATGATGAATAAACTCATATTAAGATCTTAAATAGTATTGGGTGTACCAACTCATATATAGAAAGAGTGGAAATAAAGAATAAAAAAGTAACAATGTAGAGACCGTAACCTGCACACCAGATGCATGCCACCAACCGTCTTTTTTTTATGGTCCAAATTGAATTTTTTAGCATTGATACAGGTAATTTGTATAGCATTTTTTAAGACAAGGTAGAAAAGAACTCATAACGTACTAAGGAAAGTATTGTTATTTTTATATAAAAAAAATATTAGCAAAGGAAATATACTAATTATCAATGAAATGCATCAAAATAATGGTTTGACATTATTGTCACATTAATGGAGACAATATTGGATTTATTGATGATGTAGGATTGCACATGGCCTTATAGGAGTAACTCTATATTCTAAGCATCACCTTTCATTCATTTGAGTAACAAACTCCTTTATAGTAAGAGTAGTATACCATCATAAATGACCAGAGTAGGTAACACTGGTAGATCAGGCAAAACAAAACAAAACAAAAATCTATTGTCATCCATGATTTGTTTGTTTAGTAGCAACTACTAAGTTCTAACCAACTAAAAATGATGGTGCTTCTTATTTGATAGCTTACCATAGTGGTTGTCTTCAACAACTACATTGCCGTCATCATCATCATCTCTCTCCCTCTTCTGAAATGTTGTTGGGTGGGATGGTGGCACCTCTTGCACTTCACCGTCTCCATCTTCTTCATCCTCCTCAACTCCTCCCCCTCCTTCATTCAACTCGTGATCTACAGCAGCTCTGTTTCCTGGCTCCTCCTCCATATCACTCAAGCCGCCATCAACCTCCACATGTTCTGTTGGTTGAACTGCCACATGTGCTGCATCTCTATCTATTTCCTGCTTGTGAACAGAAGATATATTAAGCTTTTTTTAAAAGTACGGAGTAATAAAAAGATTAGATAAAGCCACACTAATTATCAAACGTTCATATTTTAATTTAATAATACTCCCAGAATCACTTCATATAGCACCCCACCATCGACTTCCATTCTCGCAACTTTAGTCATGTGGGTAGGTTAAAACCCCACCATTCCAGTCTCACAGAGCAGTTGCACTGCCATGGCCGCTATTTAACAGCTCAGATTATAATTTCTTTTTCACAATCACTCTCACTTATTGATAGTATTTGTTCAACAAAACTGCCCACCTTGACTTCGATTGGGTTCAAACCTAAAACCTCTACTTTGGAAGGTACACAGTACAAAGCAGCTCATGTTATATTATAAAACGATATATGTATCTCAACAATGCAAGCAAGCAATTCTGATGCAAATGATAACGACTATTGAAAACTGTTTTCTCCAAATTTGGAGTGAAAAATGAGACGTTTTAGGGAGTCCATATCCTTCCATCCAGCAAAAAACTACGGAGTATGTTCCTTACCTTCTGCCTAACTGCTTAGAATTTAGTAATACTGCACTGTTTGATAACTAGCTTCTTTGATATGTGATCAACCTGATATTCTAAAAACAAAAAGCAACTTATTTTAATACTTCGCCAACTGTTCCCATTTCCCGCTAATAGAACAGTCAAAAAATACCTAAGTGAAATGAAGGAAAATACCTTTTGGCCATGTTTTATACATTTTCCATTAATCTATTATAAATGACATCAAAAAAAGACGCCAAGAGTTATGATACTTATTAAACTCATTAGAATGATTAGATAATTTAAAGCATTTTTGCCGCATAATCTTCTCATTACATAGCATCAGACATTTCAAATTTACCAAATGGGCCAATAAAGGCACAAACTCACTAAAACAACACTCCAAACTATAACAACAAGAGAACTAAAGGAAAATGAGTAAGATAGAAGACATTAGGATGCAGTGCCTTAAGAAATTAGAACATATTACTCTGTAGTATAATTTATGAGGTTAATGGACAGCGTATTACTCCCTCAGTAGCTTTAAAGAAATTGCTTTTTTAAACTTGGCTCCATTCTAATTAATTTCTACTTTACAGTTTCTATACTACAGTTATTGCCTTTTTCTAATTTTACCCTTCTATTTTCAACACTGTGGTGCACCTTGAGCTTTATAACATTCTTAAATACTCTAAAAAGATACTTGATGAAGATTATATAAACACAATAAATAAAGGTATACTAGTCTTTTAAACTCTTTTTTTTGGAATATTCTTCTGAACCTGCTTTTCATCATTTGCAATGGAGCCAAAAACTCACTATTTTTGGCTTTGGAATATGATGGAATAAAACAAAATGGCTCACTGTTTGCGCTTCTTTGTTATGAAGTAGCAGTCAGTCCATGTAAGTTTCGACGCGATTTTCATTATGGGTCATCCGGAAACAGTCTCTTTGTGCTTTAGTACAGGGGTAAGGCTGCGTACATCCGACCCCCTTACCCCACTGTAGGTGGGAGCCTTTGCGGCACTGGGGTAATGATGATGATGATATTCTTCTAAAACTATTATAGTATCTGCTCTTGTTAATGCCAACATCCTTGATTGGGATGAGAGTCGAACA